AGCTCATGTGTTTCAAACCCTAGAGCTCTAACTGAAATGATGAACAAAATGACAAAGGCTAATGGAAATGTCACCTGCTCCCGGAGAAGGAAGGAACGTGGCCTTCAGTCAAAATCTCCAAACTGGTGGGGAGGAATGTGGGTCCTCTGGCAGGTTTGTAAGGATTTAGGCAGGGAATTTGCAGTGGCTCTTTTCTTGATGGACTTCATGGCTGTCCAGTTTACAAATACAGATGCCATTTTTTTTTTAAAAGGATCAACATTGCTTTTGAAAGTCACTGCTTTCAAGTGCCGGTAGCAGGTACACTTGACCCTGAATACAACAGTAAATCGTCCTTGCTCCTTCCTATTTTCCCAGAAAAGGGACATATTGAATGAAATTATAGGACTGAGCTGGTGATTCATTGCCTGCAGCCGGTCTCACTTGCTTCAAGTTTTACCATTTCTTTCAAGACTCAAAATAGCTATTGATGCACAGCACCCGGACTTTCTTTAAGGGCCACATTCCTTTTGTACTTAAAGGGCAGAAGTAATTTCTCAAATAGGCAGAACACGTGTAGAAGCTTTGCTAGGTGGAGTGCATTTGAACAAAAGGACCACGTGTGTGTTTCATGGCACATGTTTTAGAGCAGTGGTTCTTAACCTTTCTAATGCCACAACCCTCTAATATAGTTCCTCATGTTGTGGTGACCCCCAACCATAAAATTATTTTCATTGCTACTTCATAACTGTAATTTTGATACTGTAATGAATCGTATTGTAAATATCTGTGTTTTGCCGAAATGGTTTGGCTCAGTGGATAGAGCAAAACAGCCTGCAGACTGAAAGTCCCAGGTTCGATTCCAGTCAAAGGCACATACCTTGGTTGTAGGCACATCCCTAGTAGGGAGCGTGCAGGAGGCAGCTGATCAATGTTTCTCTCATCAATGTTTCTAACTCTCTCCCTCCCTTCCTCTCTGTAAAAAAAATCAATAAAATATATTTTAAAAAATATCTGTGTTTTCCGCTGGTCTTAGGCGACCTGCTAGTGGTTCTCAACCTTGGGTCACCACAACATGAGGAACTGTATGAAAGGGTTGAGGCATTAGGAAGGTTGAGAACCACTGATCTAGAGGATAGAGGTCCAAGGGAGCAATCTTGTTCAAACAGCTTCATGTCATAAATGATGAAAGTGGGGTCCACAGAAGCAAAGCAGCATAGCGCAATTAACAACCATCAATATTTAAGTTGGAAAGGAAGACATAAAGACTTTACGGTAAGTCTGAAAGGTAATAGAGATGTTAGTACTTGGAAGTGTAAATATCTCAGGCTTTGAAATCACAGGTCTAAAATGCGAAACACGTCACATTGTCTAAATCACCCAAGACCTTCAGGAGTTTTCTGGCAGCCTGATGGTGCTGTGCAGAGTCCTGCAGAGGTTGTGCTTATTTCAGTCCCTAAATGGTAACATAGCCATTTACAAACAAGCAAGCATCCAAGAGGGAATCACTCACCTACTGAGTGGTCACCCAGGCCTGGGACAGGCTATTTCTTTGATTAATACTCCTGCTCTGTCATTTATCTTACAGTTTTCAGGACACCTTCACTCACTGTAATAAACTCTATCTTGAGCTTTTAGATCTCATTCTAAAGCTACTTGTGTAGGGAAGTTCTATTCTTTTTAAAAAATATATATTTTATTGATTTTTTAACAGAGAGGAAGGGAGAGAGATAGAGAGTTAGAAACATTGATGAGAGAGAAACATCAATCAGCTGCCTCCTGCACACCCCCTGCTGGGGATGTGCCTGCAACTAAGGTACATGCCTTTGACCAGAATCAAACCTGGAACCTTTCAGTCTGCAGGCTGACGGTCTATCCACTGAGCCAAACCAGTTTCGGCGGAGGTTCTATCCTTATGCAAAGCCTTTATGAGGCCCAAGACTTCCATAAAATAGGTGTGTTATATAAATGACAGGCTTTATTTCTAATTACCTCTAATCCCTATATCTAATAATACCAGAAAAATGTCTGTATATTAAAGTTGGACAACCATATGCTAAGAAATGACAGAGAAAAGAATTGAAAAGAGAAAACTCAATGTGTACTATACAGAAGAGGTGAAATAGAGAACTAGCTGAGAGCCTATGTTTTGTTTCAATTCCTTTCTACACTTACAGAATATCTATAATTGATTTTATGATTATCATGTATAAGCCCTCTCAGAAAACTGAAGATGCAAAGATAGAAAGACAGACTCAAATCTGTACTCAGTAATAAAACTAAAGGTTGCATTATGTTGATAAAATAAAATATTCATGATTTTAGTTTATTTTGTTGAATTTATTAATAATCTTTATATATTTATTTTGTATGGCTTTGAGCAAAGACAAAAGAAATACTCTACCGCTCCCCTGATCATACAGTTGTTGGAGGAATCAGCTATCTACTATTTTCCCAGCAGCAGAAAGACCAATCTTTTCAATAATACATTTCTTTCTGTACAGATTAAAACTCCATACTTATGGGCTTACCTAGGTACAGAGAAAAGAGGTCACTTGTCAACTAGCAATTGGCTTTTACATTACAGGAATGTGAGTCATTTTTTTTTCTCTTCACCTAAGAATATAGATTCATACATAGATGTAAATAATTCACCCTGCACCACTGTTAGTTTAACATACAAGCCTTAGCTTTTCGTCCATTCTGTTACAAAGAGAATAAAAATGTTCTGTGTGCACTGAAAAAACATACAATTCAACCCTGCTCACATTTCCCAATAGTCCTTGAAATAAAAAGCCAAAAATGTATCTATTGTATAAAAATATTTCACTACCAAACCCATTTGTCCTATCAAATGTAAACCTTTAATAATTTAAAGGATCCATACATGATCTTAATAAATTGACATTAACTCTCCATCTTTTAATAAAATAAAGGAGTTTTGTACTGATATGTAAATGGTCTTGCAGCTTTTCCATAGGATCTAGGTAGACTGAACAACCCCTTTCTTGAATCGTTCCTGACACACCATTCTGTTACCAGCATGGTACTGACAACATTACATTGACTAGCACTGTTGATCCACACAAGCTGGGATCTGTCAGAAATTAAACACCATGACTCATTTTGGTATTATAGATATTTTTCCCACAAAAGGCGTAACAGGCAGCCTGGATATCCATGTTAGAGTTTTTGCTTTTGTTTTGTTTTCTGCCCTCCCTGTTGAATGTGGGGTCTTGCTTACGTTCTTCAAAGTGTCACCGGGGCCAAAGATACTGAAGACCTCCACGTGAGGCCATTCTCTCAAGTTGGGTTATTTATAGAAGGTGGTAACCAGGGATCCTCCAATTGTGTTCCAGTCACCCACCACGTTCCTGGGATGCATTAGGCACAAATCATGACTAAGGGACTCCCTTCAGAGGGAGAAGATGCTCCCAGATCATTGAAAGAGTTAAGGAAACAGACAAATAAACAAACAATGCTCACATTTAGTTCCCCCTTGCTTTCCGTCACCATGTCTAAACTTTTCTCAGCACTCTTAAGACAATACACTTCCTATCCAAGGCCCATGTTAACACCATACGCCTTAAGATTTCCTAACCACTCAGTTACAGTATACATAGAGCGAAGCGTGTGTTTCCAACAGAGATGCTGCTGCTATGAGCATTTCTTTCTTTAAGTCAATACCACAGTAAGCTACCAACTACAGTGAAGACAGAACACACAGGCAACTCCAAATCAAGCTGTGATTTACAAGTCATTATATAAATAATAACAATAATAGTAATCATATTGAAAGAAAGCAAAAACCTCACTTCTAATCTTAAGATAGAGTTCCATCTGAGTCAAACTTATAGGAATTTTAAGATAGGCAGTTAATAAAATTGGTATATTTTTCCAGAAAGGAGAAATGCTGTAAGCCTTTCCCTACAATGACTGCTTTTAACCTCTTCCCTTCCCTATCCCCCACTCCCCTCCCCCCCCAAAAAAGCATGCAGGGATATTTTCCAATGCTTGATTATGGCAAGAAGGAAGAAAAGTGATGGTTCTTGGTGTAATACAAGCGATTTGTAGAGTCAAGCATACAATTTTGCATAAAAACATTGCAGGTTAAAATAACATTGTAGGTTTCAAGCCATTGCATTACAGTTGAATAATTGTCACAATTCGGTTTTGTAAAAATTTAAAACTCTAGATTTTGAAGTGAAACAATAAAACTAAATTCTTAAGTGATGACTTTGACCTTCATTCAGCACAGAATAGCTATTTTTCATTTGGGCTGAAAAGATTATTTACAACTAGCATGGATTGAGTCTTGGTAAAAGTCCAATAACACAGGAAGAGAAATATCCCCTCTGCTGTCTGAATGAACAATGAACATGGTTAAGGTTAGAGATACTCCTAACACTGGCTGCTCATCTCCTACTGTGGCCAAGCATATGCAACTGTTCTTTAACCTAAGTCAAAACAGAAAGCACCAAATGGCAATTTAGATCTGCTATTTCCCCCTACATAACGCCTGATTCACAATTTAGATGCAGAGACACAGCTAATGAAGGAGGTGTTGATTGGTGCCAATCAGTAGCTCTTTTGAGCTTTCCCTTTAAAAATCAGGGTTTTGTTTGTTTTGTTTGCCTCGAATCCCAGAACTCTTCCTAAAATAGAGAAATACACATATCGAAGGAATTCAGGGGGAAAAAAGCAGGTTAAAAAATAAATAATCTTACAACAACATTTTAAATCCTCTTTTAATGATTGAAAGCAAGGAAGACATATATAACACTGAATGCTAAACAAGTCTTTGAGTTTCCCTTGGGATTTTAGAGATATATATATATATATATTTAATAGTATATGTATATATATATTTATATATATTTATATATTTTACATTTTGCGTGTAGGCCAGAGCTGTCTAAAATATCTCTTCACCATAGGCTATAGGGATGTGTCGGGAGATAGAATAAAATAAGATCTGAGAATGTCCTCGGTGGGTGGTTTATTCGAGTCTGTGGCAGGGATCATAAATTCGAAGAAAACCGTGGCTTTTCGGCCTCTGGCTCTGTTTTTAAGACTGAGGAAGGCTCTTTCGGAAGCGGGGCCGCCGCTGGCGGAGGGGGTGCGGGCGGGACCCCTCGGGGCGGCGGGATGGCTCCGGAGGACATCTGTCGGAACAGGGTGACCCTCTGGGGGACGGTGCCCCTGCCCGCTGCCTGCAGGCTCCCGCCAGGGTGGACGGCAGGCGCGGACTGGGGGATGGAGGCCAGGGACTCCCCCACGGTGGGGTGCGGTCTGGAAATCGGGGTGGACGACGCCTCGTGGGGCAGCGAGGGCTGCGAGGCCGAGAGGGGCCTGACCTCCCGGCTCAGGCTGGCGTTGTGCAGGGCCTGCGTGCTCTTGTGCACGTCGGCTTTGGGCGTGGAGCTGCCGCTGGGCTGCAGGGGCTGCGGGGGCTGCTGCGGGGGCTGCTGCAGAGGCTGGGGCTGCGGGGCCGGGGCCGGCTGGTGCACCAGGGACAGCTGGGGCGCCGTCGGGGAGGCGTAGTGGAAAGTCCGGGCGGCGGCCAGCGGGCTCTGGACGGGCGGGCTGCAGACGGCCGCGGTGTAGGAGCAGGGCGAGAGGACGGCGGCGGGCTGCGGGGGCTGCGCGCCCGGGCTCGGGGAGTGCAGGCTGCTAGGGGGCCGGCTGGTCGCGGGGTACATGGGCGGCGACTGGGTCCGCAGGCGGGAGGCGGGCGCGGCGTTGTTCGGGGGTCCCGGCGTCTGCGGGTAGCCCAGCGGAGGAGGCGCGATGGCCTGCACCATCTCCCGGTCGTGCTTCACGATCTGCTTCAGGATCTCGTTCTCCTGGTTGTTGAAAACACCAGTGTTAAGATCCTTCTGGAACTTTTGCAGGAGAATTGAGTTTTTCTTGCCTGTCAGCGAGAGAGAAATAAGCGCTTAGAACGCCCACCCACGACAGGTGGCAACTCCGGGGTCTGGGGGCGGGGGACAGTGGCTCCTGAAAGCAAGTCTGTCAGTGTGCCCTAAGGGAGGCTCCGAACAAGCCCCGTTACTCACCTTCATCATCAGAAGCCTGGTCCTGCCCTGTGTGCTTCCTGCATCATCCTAAGACAGTCCCACCTCCCATCCAGGTCAAGTTGAAAAAACCGTTATGTGGCCAAAGAAATGGGGAGATGGACATGCGGGCTCCGGTGCAGAGCCAGGAAGAAAGAGCGTTTGAGCCAGGATAGGCCTGGAATCAAGATTAAGGTGACCAGATGTCCCGATTTTCATCAATTTGTTAAAAATCGGGACTGTCCCGCCAAAAGCAGGACATCTGGTCAAAGATATGATTTTTAACAAATTGATGAAAATCGGGACGTCTGGTCACCTTAAGATATGAGTTGAATGCGTTTTTTTTCAGAGACAGGACAGTGGATCGCCTACCATGTGACAGGCAACCTACCCTGCAGGAGGCCGTGGGTAGGTCTGTTTTATTCACCTCCCTCTTTGAGACGTGCCCACACCCATTGCCCTGAGGCAGAGGGAGGAGAGTGAGGACAATGCCCAAGAAAATGGGGCTCCTGAGTCACAGGGCTGGGAAAGGGAAACAGCAAATGGGACAGAGATGGGTCATCCTCAGCTAACCAGATGCACCCTCCCGGGAATGCTGGACCCCAGTCCCGGGCCTCATCCACTGCTCAGCCAGAAGCAGCATTCTACTGAGCTCCCCACGTGCAAGTCTGAGAAGCGAAGGACTTTGTTTTGGACCCGTGTCCCACTCCAGTGATTCTCTACCCTACCTGCATAGCAATCTCATCTCTGGGGCTTTAAAACACAGGGAGCTCCATCTGTACTCTATCCCTGAAATCAGGATGAGCAGACGTGGGGTCCAGGTTTTGACACTGTAACAGTTAATTTTCCCTGAGGATTTCTGCGTGGCCCTCATTGAGGACCATGTCACAATCTTCCTCTTCTGAAAGGCTGGGAGGGTCTAGCATGTGGAGGGCTCTCAGCTCACTCCAGAACTCCGTCACCATAACCATCCCCCCTCCTTCCTGCCACAGTCTCCCCAGGGCTCTGCAGTTAGCAGGCATTCTGGGGCAGAATAACTGCTAGCACCAGGAGTAGGCTGATGAAAGGGGGGGAAATCAGTGACTTTCCATGACATCATTCATACCCAAGTGAACATGGTAACTAAAAAGGGAATCAATTTGCCAAATTACCTAAGTGTCATAAAGTATGACATCTAAAGGGACAAGAACTACTTTTGAATGAAAGTATATGCTAAAATTTACTCGATACTGAGAAAAACAATCATTTTTATTTTATTTTTGATCTTATTGATGTACAACTGACATACACATGCTATTAGTTTCAGGTTGCGATCATTTTAAATGACTGACAGAATGGATAGCTACCTCTCTCTCCTTTCAGAATTGTCCTAACTTCTCAAAGAACAAACACCTCTAGGTTAGCATACTATTTAGCATATTTCCTTAACTAATTATAATATACATTTGTAAGACATGATGGCATTTGATAAGGACTGCATTTCTTTGCGACATTTCATAATCTAATATCTGTGACTTTGTGGAAAAAATACTATAACTTTTATTGTACTGTCAGAATTTTATAAGGATTAAAAATGCAAATGTTTGGTGCTTACTAGCAATTTCAATGCCTATACTGTTAATTAGGAACCATTTCTTGCAAACCTCTTTTCTAAACATAAACTGCAGTAAATTAGAGGAGAATGAAGCTGTATCAGATGAAGAGATATTTCCTATTGAAATAACCTAATTTTAATGCTTTCTTTAAAGATGTGGAACTGGCTTAGGAAAAGAATCTATATGTCCAGACATGAATCTCTAACTTTCCATGAACATTATTTATGCACCACAATGAGGGAAGTTATTTGCAAATTAAACAAAGATGCTTTGAGGAGTACTCACTTCCTTGATGGGCACTCTGCCCTGTTAAATCTCTGTGCTGTCATTGTGAGTCTCTAAGGTATGTGTTAAGTCTAATGGTCATATCCAAATGCTATCTTTTTTCTCCTGACCTAATTTCAGGTCCTTATGCAGTCTGATAGCCTACTAACATTGGTATAAGGATAGGCGTGAAACGCGGCAGAAAAGCTCACATAGCCATACATCAACCACAAGTCCTTACCTTAATAAGAGTGAAGCAGTTGCAATACCTCTTTGCTTACTTTCAAGTGATCCCAACCCCTCCTCCTTTGAGTTCATCGATTCCTTCAACCCTCTCTACCTCTCGTCAATAAAACTCACTATGCACCAGGTACTGTGAATGCGATAGGGAATTAGACATGGTCTCTGCAATTACAAAGCTTAGCATCTCTAGTGCCATTGCAACACTAAAAGCAGTGCTGTGATGGAGGAACTCCCCAAGGACATGAGAGAACATGCCTGGGTACTCAGTCTATCAGGAGGGGGGGTGTCTAAACTGAGAGAGGAAGACTAGTAGAGTTAAGCAGAGAAAAGGGGCAGAGCATGGTAGGTTGGGGAGGAGGATCCGGGTGTGTAAATGAATGTATACTGCTGATGTCACAGTGTCCCAGCAGGTCTTGGGAAGTTAACTGCAAGCCAATCTAATGTAACTTGACTATGGCAAGTATTCAACTCTTTAAACTAGTGTAACTAGTAAGGCTAATTTATACATTTTTATTTCAGAGCAGACTAAAATAAATTGATATTTGCAAAGTAAAGCATCTACGCAGGACATTTCTAGCAAGGCTTTTTTCTTTTTCTTTTTTTTCTGTTTGAGTCTGCATTACAAATATTTCCAGAAGTTTCTATAGAGACAGTTATTTAACACAAGTTCTCATTGCTTAATATAAGGATAAAATGTGAAGTTGAACCTTAAAAAAAAAAATCCTTGTGGTCACTTTGGTTTGTAAAGTAGACACAGACATTGGCATTTTAAATTCTATTTTAATGCTATGTAGAATTTTTATCATTGCTTTTTACCTTAAAATTCAAATTGTATTGGCATCACTGGGGAAAGTGGATTGCTTAGCTAGTAAAAATAGAGATGAATAAGTAAACCTGGAACACTGAAGAGAGAAAGCTAGAGCCTCAGATCTTTCTAGAAATAGGGCTACAGCTAATTGCTACTTCTATGTGATTGAACAATCCATCTGTGAACTAGCATCTGGGACTGATGACTGCAAATATGTGTCAGCCCACTAGATTAAGACTGAACTGTGCATAAAGAAGACAAAGCCAAAGAGAGTACCTATCCGATCTAGTCGGTCAATGGCCACGGTCTCAAAGGCTCTTCTCATCATGGGATATTCCTCCAGGACCTCGTTGAAGTTGTCCACAGAAAGTGAATAAAGACGACAGTACGTGTCAGCTCGAACACTGGCAGTGCGGCGTCCCTTGGTCAGCAGGCAAATCTCTAGAAAAACAAGAAGGGCAGATTTGTCCGGTCATTTTCTTTTCGAGGCCATTACGGCTTCCCCAAATAAAGGTAGAATCACCTGGTGTGAGAAACCAATGATTAGCAGCTTCTTCTGTTTTATCAACTAATCCCTTTTGACAATTAAAAGCATCCAATTGCCAACACTCAATCTTAAAATATTCGTCATCTTTTTTTAAACAATTGAAGCTTTTGGCTCAAAGGGGATGCTGAGACATATTTATCTTTCCTCAGGTCCCCATTCCATTCCCCTTGAAATAACAACAACAAAAAAAAGACGCAGAAAGGGGATACTAAATGCACAATAGAGTTGAAAACAGGAAGAAGCCATGCTGAGGTAGTGTTTTTTTTTTTTTTTTTTTTTTTTTTTTTATGAATTCTGGAAGGGAGGCAGAATGGTAAGAACTAGGAAAATTCCTTGGCACGTGGGTTGGGGAAAGAGACAGCTGAGCAAACTGGTTGAGCAATTTACAGCCAGATACAGGTCCCTGCGGTGGAAATCCCTGAGTACCTAGCAAATGGCAAAACTGAGGAAACAAGAACTTTGCTTCCAGTGTGACCGTTCCTCCTCCAGTGCATTTTCACTGGTCCTGAGGTTTAGACCCCCTGACTTTTATACGTTGTTCGGACCCTCCCCTGACCTTTCCTCCCCTGGCTTATTGCTAGTCGTGGTTTTAGAGCCCCCTTCGAGGAGAAATGGAGGCCAGAGAGAGCCTCCCAGGAACCCTGTAGAAGTCCTTGCTTGGCCGCTCCTTTGAGCAGTAAGCCCCAGAGCTATCACGTAGGCCTCAGTTGTTTTTCAGATTCAGGTCCAGAGAAGAGCAAAGACAAATGAAGTGATGCCATGGCTGACATCAGAACCAGCTGCAATGACTAACGGCTCCCTACTTTGAAAAAATCAATTCATTTTAATAGACACCATTATATTTATCAGCCTTCCATTACCTGGGAAGGCTGATAAATATAATATTGAGATCCTTTCCTGAGACCTCCAGATAAAGGCCCTTAGACCAAGGACACAGTGTATACATCCTCTTGAAGCAAGTCCCCTGGTAACTCCTTTTTTTTTTTTTTTTTTTTTTTTTTTAAATATATTGCACTTCCCTTTCTCTTAAACTCTATGAGTTTTGGTGAGACTTGCAACCAGGGGAGCAGTAGGCAGTGGCATCTCAGCCTAGGCTAACCCCCTGAACCTGTCTCTGAGGACCCCTTTCCTTGGACTTTTCACTGAGCTAACAGCAGCCCCGCCTTGGCTCACTTCTGCCTCTGCAACATTTCTCAGTGAGTCCATGCAGCCTAGCCTGGCTCACTTCTTTCCTATAATGTTTTTAGAGAGCCAAAGCAGAGCACCACCTCTGCTCTCTCCTGTTACCTATTCTATCATAATCCCTTCCTTTATTTTACTATCGCCACCTTTAATAAATATATTCTCAAAATAATCTGGACTCATGTTGTAAAATCATTCTTGTACAAAGTTAAGAACCCACACACTAGGCCAGCCAGAGCCAGATGTGCTCTGAGCCTGGTTCCTTCCCAGTGATGGTCCTTTTCCAAAGCATAAAGCAAATGGTAACATAAAGAAAGAAACCAAAATGAGCCCAAACGTTGGCTTAGAAAACCCTATAATGAAGCAAAACTGCATCAGTGGAATACATTACAGGCATACCTTATGTAGTTCCTATATTTAGGAATAAGATTAGTATACATTTTTTATTCCATATGCACTGAGGGTGTCAAATTTAAATAACTTCTAGGGAGAACTCTTCATTGAAACTTAGCTTCCCAAAATATCCTATATTAAAGAGATAATATGCAAATTAACCCTCACAAGATGGCTGCTTAGGCCAGGCTGGCAGGGGAGTTAGTGAGTGATGACCAAATGACTAAACAATAGGCTGTGTGGGGCAACCAGGCTGGCAGTGGGGGCGGGGGGAGAAGGGGAAGCCTGAGGGGTGACCGGGGTGGCAGAGGGGAGCAGTTGGGGGTGACCAGGCCAGCAACAGGGGGGCAATAATATGCAACTAGGCTGGCAGGGGGGCCATGAGGGGCGAGCAGGGCAGCAGAGGGGGAAGTTAGGGGTGACCAGGCCAGGAGGGGGGGCAATAATAGGCAACCAGGCTTGGAGGAGGCAGTTAGTGGCAATCGGGCTGGCACACAAAGGCAGTGAGGGGCAATCAGGCCTGTAGCAGGAGGCAGTTAGAGGAAACCAGGCAGGCAGGCAGGTGAGAGATTAGGAGCTAGTGGTCCAGGATTGTGAGAGGCATGTCCGGCTTCTGGTTTAGGCCAGATCCTTGGGATCTGGCCTAAACCCGCAGTCAGACATCCTCTGAGGGGTCCTGGATTGGAGAAGGAGCAAGCCGGCCTGAGGGACACACCTTCACAAGATGGCTGCTTATGACCAGGCTGGCAAGGGGGTTAGTGAGGAATGAATCAATCAACAAATGTAAAGCAGAATGACATATCAGGATGGAAATATTCTTCGTAAAATGAGGTGCTCACATCTGAATACAACAATCCAAATAGCCATATCATTTTGAGGAGTTTTGACCCTATCCACCAGAAGTCACATTGCCCTTATCATTTATCTATTATAGATTATAAATTTGCTCAATACATTACTGTTTGATATTGTTGGATATGTAAATGTCTCCATTAAGGTTTATACATTCAACTTCTTAACCTCTCATCCCTTTCCCTCCCTTAGGAAGTCTGTGTTTTAAAATTCCATTGTGATTTCTTCAAGTGTCTAATGTCTACATATGATCACCTTTACACACTACTATCTATAAACTGTTATCTACTATATATTTATAGGGCTTGTCCTTGGAAATTAAAATACTCGGTGGACTATCCCAGGAATTCTAAAAATACCTTTTGAGCAGGTAGGAAACATTGCTAGCCCCATGCTAGCCATGTGATAAAAAGAAGATTAAAGAGGACCTGTTAAGCAACTGGAACAGAAATCATACAAAAATATCAAAGCTAAGAAGATTAAGAGCATGGTTTTCCTACTTCTCTCCAACTCTAAAAATCCATCAGACTACTACAAGCCTTTCCTTTTGATTTTAAGTCTACCAACACTCAACTCTTTAAAAGTTAATTAAACACTTTGAATTATAAATGCCTTTAAAAAGCAGCAAGCTTTTAAAAAATTCATCAAATGAATTCAGCTCTTAGATACCTCAAGTGTGTGTGTGTGTGTGTGTGTGTGTGTGTGTGTGTGTGTGTATTCTGAAGTAATATCATGACAGCTTTGTTTTCCTATGTGGTTTAATATGTTTACCCAAAATGAAAAAGGAAAGTACAGCAGAAATAATAGTCTAAATAGAAAATATATTCACTAGATATTTCTGAGGTGAGTCTAATACAGTAAAAAAAAAAAAAGTCTCCCCAAATTTTCTCTGGCTTTCTCTTTTTCTTCATTACACACATACGTATGCACATTCCTGCATGAATAATAAAATGGTTATTTAAGCATACATTTCCTTGGTTTATTTAATGCAAAAGTTAATGCTCAACTGATTCAGACTGGATTCTTTAGGGCAGCATTTCCCAGACTTTAATATGCATCAGAATCACCTGGGTATGCTGCTAAAAACAGATTAGGATATAGTATGTAAGTCTGGAATGGGGCCCGAGACTGCATTTCTAGCTGGCTCTTAGGTGATGCCAAGGAGAGGCTTTTTTTTGGGTGTGTAAATGAAAAGTTGTAGCTGCCAGACCTACATCTACAACAGGTTTCCTTTTTTAAATCAGGAAAAGATGGCAAAAAGAAATGGAAATTAAGTGACAATTTGAATTTAAGTCAACAAATGGTTTTACTGTAACCAACACCTTGAAAGAAAATATGAGAATACAAAATAAATGAGAGCACACTGACTGATCCTGTCTCACAGAATTTACAATTTATTAAAAATTCAAGAGAGAGAGAGAGAGAGAGAGAGAGAGAGAGAGAGAGAGAGAGAATAATTTCAAAGTTAAACTGCCTGCTAGTGACTTGAATGTTGATTAAAATCTTGAAGTCCAGATAATACAATATTCATCAAGGTACAGTCCTGTACACGTGTGGTGGCATGAAGGGCCTGGCGCGGTTAGGCTCTGAGGGAAGTGTAGAAATTGCATTGCTTCGCCTTGAGGATGGAGAGAACAGGAAAAGAGGAAGTGGGGGGAGGAAGATATCAGTGAAATAGGATCCTGAGCATAGGCTCAGAGAAGAGTTTGGGTTTTATAGGATTGTAAGAACTGCAGCCACAAAGTCACAGACTTTTGAAGAGGCATAGTGAATATTCCTCCATGAATAAGCAGCCTGGTCTTGATCTACCATGTCACTGCAAGGCTCTTCAGGAGGGAGTTTGTGCCTCTGAGGAAAGGAGGTCAAGTGGAACGCAGTGGGTGTTCTAACCCTTTAAGTATCGCGCTGTATATGGGAAAGGCACTCCACCTCTCTCTCCCTAGATGGTACATGTGTTCTTCTTCAAGTCTTTTGCTTTATGACACAAGAATATCAATTCACTGTTGGCTTGTAAAATGAACTGAGAGGGAGGTTCTTAGCAGTTAAAATACAAAGATTTGGAAAGGTTTGGAAATAATTTTGGGTACAAGGTGACGAGGAGTTGTCTGATATAAAGCTTAGCACCCAGAACAGAAGTGTTCTCTCTGAAGAATCACTGTAAAAGAAATGTCAAAAGAACTTGAAAGGTGATGAGGCATCTGTGATTGTAAACCTAGACATTTTTAAAAAAATCACCAGAGATATCTGTCCTGTGAGTCAGAACTTCAGTTTGTGTAGAGTCTCAAATATATTGTATACTAGTATTAATAAGAAACAATAATCCAGCTGGGCCAGCATGGCTCAGTGGTTGAGTGTAAACCTATAAACCAGGAAATCATGGTTCAATACCCGGTCAGGGGACATGCCTGTGTTGTGGGTTTGATCCCCAGTGTGGGGAATGTAGGAGGCAGCTAATCAATGATTCTCT